GTAAACAGCGCCTGGTTAGCCAATTGCAAATGCGCTAAAGGTCTATGGTAAGTTTTGCAGAGGTTGCAGCAACAAGAAGCCGGAAGCCCAGTCCAGGGCTTCCGAGTCCAAGTGCCATGTGCAGCCATGTCATACACATCCGAAAAAACTCAAAGGGTCAAATGTGCCTCTGCCTGCCTGGGCCTGCCAACGATTGCTGTCAACATGTCAACCCTCAGCTGCCACACGTTTAAAAATCGGCCCTGCGCAAAACCACTTCGGATGAAAGCAAGCCACTGCAAGTAGGCGTACTGAGGAATGAGTGGATCCTCCGAAAATCGGTGGGGCGCAGAATGCGCGTAGTCGCGTTGGTCGGAAAAGCTGTTCTGAAGTCGGACGCGCATGGAACGTACCGAATTACCTGCTGGGCCAGCATGGGACAAACTTACGTTGCCCATCATTGCCCCAAGTCCCTTAGAACGTCCAAAACCACGCTGCAAGCTAGAGCCGGTTGCCTTGGCGTCGGCACCGATTCACGGCTGTTCGCGCTCAAAACAAGCGAGAAGGCTGCCTTCACCCGCGCGTTGGCCATCTGGCAATACAACAGGCGCGCCTCCTCTGATGATAAACGCGTCCCCCAGACATTTCCAACGGCACCAAATAAATACATGTACATATGTATCGTCCCTTTTCAGAATTTCTGTTTACACAAAACAATATACACTCACTCAAACGGGACAGCACTTGACCGATGCAAGCAGATTGACTCCATGTTTACAAGAATCGAGAGTGCAACTAAAAATGCCTAAACCCTTAACCCTAAACCCAAGACCCATAAGCCCTACATTAATAGTACCCCAAGATAATCCCCTATTAACCCCCTTTAGGAAGTGAGACTATAGCTCATATCTGTTGGGTACTGCCCCCACCCTGTAACAGTCTGTATTAGGGGTCCTATTAGGGCTATACATACTTATATTATGAATATTATCCAACTGTTACAGAGTGGGGGCAGTACCCAATATATCTGTATAAAACACCTTTCGGGTAAGTTAGGATGAGATGGTCTTTATTTGCCAGGAGCGGGGGTTCCCCTGCGCTTGAGGTTTAGGATTGCTTTCTTTCAAATTCCGCGTCGACAAAATGTTCCTGGTTTTTGGTTTAAGGTTTAGGTTTAGGGTTTAGGTTTAATTGGTGGGGAGGGGGCTTGCTGGCCCAGGCGCGGGGGGCTGGTTTGCTGATTTTAGGGGGGGGGAGGGCCTGAGAGTTCTGAAGGGGGCGGGAGGGGAGGGGGTCTCAGGAAGCGCGGGGCCACGCAGAATTGCACTATCCAAGAATTCCATATTGAAAATTCCCTTAAAACAACAAGTTGCCGGAAAGTGAGGAAGCCAATTCCAAATCAAATTCTTTGAGATTCCCTCGTACAACATTTCAAATAGCCCTATGAGAACAATCGTTTTAAAATCCCTTCTGCACTGATGATCCCCTTCCTGATCGGTTTTATCCTTTTGGGCCCCAAAACTTGGGGTTACCAAGGAAAGAAGAGAATAATGGTCTAGTCACCATGGTTTCCATTTAAACACACACATGCCCCAGCTGTTGCGCAACGCAACGCCCAGCATACTGAAGTATACTGAACCAAGAAACAGCTCGTTAACTGGATCCTATCCTTCTGGGTAGTTTAGGGTCCATCGGGGAAATTTGAAAGAACCCCAATCCGGGGGAGCCCGAAGCCTACATCCAAGCCAGAATTACTCTGGAGTGAAATTGTGTATTCTGTATTCACTCAATTCTGCAGAGCCAATTCCGTTTTCAACAACACAACCACTGTACATGCAACATTAATATAACTATAGCTCCCCCGGCAGCCCAACATTCGATGCTGTTTCACAGTGGAACAGAATGCTGCCAAAACTATACTGGTAGAGGCCTCTGGTTTTTTCGGCTCCCAAAGCCACGGAGCCTCCAGCCGTGGTTGGCCCTTAAAATCATTTCGGTGCTTCGTAACTGACGGGGCCGATGTGGATGCTCTGGAATTCGGATGCGCGGTATGAACGCAGCTACCGAATCTACCCAATTAGTAGGAAATTAATCGGGCAGAGATGGGATGAGAATAATGCGCGCACGGGAGTGATGTAAATGTAGGTGTTTCGGCCGGCATATTGCCGGCATGCATGCATTGAAAACGTCATTTGCATCCGCCTGGCTCCAAATCGTGCTTCAAAAAGTGTAGGTTGCCTGTTCCAGCAAACA